AAAATGGTGGCAGCACAAGAAAAAAAATATAACTTTAAATCTTAGTTTCAGAACTGGACCAAATTTGGCAGAATTTTAGCACAGTCCACTTTTGCTCTATGTCATATTTGGAGAAGTTTGGGCTTCAATATATGATTTTTGAAAAAAGTAAAACTGTTTTATTCCCCCGTTCAAAAATAGGCAACCCTAAACATACCCAGATTTAGAATGGATCACATAAATTAAAAAGAGCAGTCTTGCTTATCTTGAACGAAAATAGTTGGCCCCATTTGTTATAGACTGGAAAGAATCCAGGCTTCAGAAGCCAAAATATTGATCCACAAAAGTGAAAAACAGAGACGTTGTTATATGACTGAGCACGCATAGTACAGGGTAGCAAGCATGAACATTGTATACATTTGTAGGCAGGGAAGGGAGGTATTTAGAAAGAAAAAACACAGAAACTAAAAAAAACACAGAAGTTATTTAAAAAGCATCCCCTTCATCCCCCATTACTGGTTTGCTTTAAATAAAGTAATGGGCTGACAGTCTTACAGAAAAGAGGATATTTTGCCATTTGTCTTCGGTAAACATTCTCTCAGGATTTCTGAAATCAAACAGTTTCCTCACATACCTTCACTAAGGGGAAATCAGTTCCACATCTGGAGCAATCTGAACTTTTGACCCTATCAATCAGGGCTTTATTGACTAACTCTCAGCTAACTTATTAACTTTTTCCTGCCCAAATAAGCTTATCAGAATCATGCTTCCAAGTGGATTCTGTGTCTGGTTGTAAAAATCAAGATATAAAAAGCTTATTAAAAGAAATTAAAAATTCAGATAAAATATTTTTAAAATTGATTTAAAAATAATATAGAGCAAATATCCAGACTCTTATTTTAACTGTGACATTACTGGTTTTTGCCTTGTGGATAGGGATTATCATACTTAATATTAGCATATTTTTGGTGGCTATATCCTGTCACAGTCTTGATTCCACCCATCTTGTTACTATACTGTTGCTTGGTAATTAAAAAACAAAACAATACTCCAAAGATGTTATGTGCCATGATGTATGGCAACTGTATGAGTTAATGACCTCACAAATGTCTTAGTAGTTCTGTTCAGATCATGCAAACCAGCAACATCTCATGTCAGGTTGTCTTCTCTTCCTGCTGCCCCTCTTTCTTATTGTCTTTTCCACCAAGTTCTTCCCAATTCTCGCAAACTAACAGCCATGAATTCCTTTGTTCAGTCAACTCATCTCATGTTAGCTCCTCTTCTTTTCCTAATCCCGGATTCCTTTGTTGAGTCAACCCATCTCATCTTAGCTCCTCTTCTTTTCCTAATCCTCCCACTTTTCCCAGCAATATTTTCTTTTCTGCTCAGTTCTGTAGTCTCATTATATTGTATGTGCATGGTAGGATACCCTCAATTTCCTAAATTTTGCTCTAGTAAGATATTAGATTTGAATTGATTGAACGTGGTTATTTGCCTTTCTATGGTATTTGTAAGGCTCACCTCCAAATATTCCAAAAATGAAATAATGACCCCCCCCCCTTTTCTTCACTGTCTATCTTTTACACAGTATGGATGGTTTTGACCTTGGTTTCAAGTGGCAATCTTTGTTCATTCCCAACCTTCCCTTTTTTTTAATTTCAAAAGACGAGGGGACATATTTTGGAAAATGCACAGACAACATGTTTGTAGAGCAAGAGTTTGGAAACTGGAAGATATCTTTCTAGTCTCCATTCTGTGGAGCGGGCCTGGCAACACCTGAGAGGTGAAAGGGTGTGAAAGTTTCTCTCTTGTACGTGTGGCACTTAAACCTTTGCTTCACCATTTCATTAAGTCCAAAACAGTCTTTCAAAATATTTTGGTACAGAGGGAATACAGCAACATCCCAGCTATTCTTGGTTCTCCCTTCTCCCAGCAACTATATTACAGATTATGTGATCATCTTCCAGAAGCCTCTAGCACTTGGTAATTCTGTTGGAATTTGTGAGTAGTTTACGATAGACGTGGCGGTGCTGTGGGCTAAACCGCAGAAGCTTCTGTGCTGCAGGGTCAGAAGACCAGCAGTCGTAAGATCGAATCCACGCAACCGAGTGAGCTCCTGTTGCTTTGTCCCAGCTCCTTGCCAACCTAGCAGTTTGAAAACATGCAGATGCGAGTAGATAAATAGGTACCACCTTGGTGGGAAGGTAAAATGGCGTTCCCTAGTCACGCTGACCACATGAAAAGGGAAACTGTCTGCAGACATGCGCTGGCTCGACAGCTTGAAAATGGGATGAGCACCGCCCCCTAGAGTCGGACACGACTGGACTAAAAATGTCAAGGGGAACCTTTACCTTATCTTAGGAATATTTAAACTTCCATTTTAAAAAGCCAGGAAATTCAGTTCTTCCTGCATTGCTAGCAGGAAAACGGAAGCCAAAGTTTATATAGCTCACTACCATTCACAAAGTGACACTATGCAAGGGAAAATAACTGAAAGTGACTTTTTTTCATTAGTTAACCCAGTGGTCCCCAACCTTGGGCCTCCAGATGTTCTTGAACTTCAACTCCCAGAAATCCTGGCCAGCAGAGGTGGTGGTAGAGGTTTCTGGGAGTTGTAGTCCAAGAACATCTGGAGGCCCAAGGTTTGGGGACCACTGAGTTAACCACTTCTAACCACTGTGTCCTCACTCCCACACAAAGCAATTGCCAGGGCTGTTTGTCAACACATTCTCTAGATACCTATTGCTTGATGATCCAAAGTAATCAAGATGTAAAGGAGTAATGGTGGTGAGCATAAGACCAAGATGTAGACCACCTTGACTGACTGCTGATATGGGTGCCATCAACTTTTAGGCTGCCTTTTGCTATATAAAATTTGGCACACTTTTTCCTGCTGGCAACACAGGCAGTTCCCCTGTCATATTGCGAAACTAGGCAAATATGCATTAAATACGAACTGAATACCTTTCCCCTCCATCCCTACCTGGGCACATACATCAGCGTCTTTGTTTCCACAGTTCCTGGCTCGGTAGGCTTGTGGCATTTTCAGAAACAGAGGTTTGCCTATGAAAAAGGTCTTCATTAAATTTGTCTGTAGGTGGCATTTGGGTCAACAAATTATGAGTGCATAGGTTCAGAGATCATTTTTCCAGAAATGGTTTCATGTCTCAGATTAACTTTCTAAATGTTAAAACTTTCGTTCACACCAAATTTCTCACCCCTTAACAGCAAGTCACTACCATTTTAACAGCATCCTGATTATTTAAGGCCGTACACTCAGGCTTTGTTACAATGACTTTCTTTTAACATTCTTTAGGCAGTGCTCTTGAGCTTACCTTAAGCCTGTGAAGTGGCCAAGGGTACTAAGCACACCATTTTTGTACCCTATATCAGCTTTGCTACCTCCTAAGCTGAGCGAATTTCCTGATTTGGAAAAAAATCTATGGAAAGAATAACAGCTTCCCTTAGGTTTCAAATGAATCACAGGGACCCAGGAAGGCTGCAGATTTCCAGCAAGATGATTGCACCATAAAGAATTGGACACTCCCATGTACCCCTAGACCACCTCATAACTAAATAAAACTTGAGAACTTTGAATGCTACCCAGGGGAACTTATCTAATTTTTTTTATTCTCCTGTAAAAAAAGGAGGGGGGTGTCTGGCTCTACCCAGGGGAACTTATCTAATTTTTTTTCTCCTGTAAAAAAAAAAGGGGGGGTCTGGCTTAGATATTTCAGTAAGTTAGGTATCTGGCTATAGCGCCAGGATTGGGAGTTCAGTTCCCCCAGTGCTCCCCAGGAAAACAGCCAACCTATGTAGCCTTGGGAAAGCTGCAAAGTCTCAAGATGCCCCCAAAAGCAGGGAATGGTAAACCACTTCTGCGTATTCTCTATCTGGAAAATTCTGAGAAGGGTAGCACTTCTGCATATTCTCTACCTGGAAAATACTGAGAAGGGTAGCCAAAAGTCAGAATTGACTTGATGGCACACAATTATTGTTATGATGCGTGGGGGGGGGTTGTTTCTATCAGATTGAAAGAGAAATGTCTTTTTAAAAAAACTTGCACAGCACAATCCTCATGGCCTTCATAAAATTTCAGCAGGATCAATTGAAAAACATCCAGTTGTATCAACATGAACTTTTGATATCTCAAAGGCAACTCCATACAGTTACACAAAATTAATTATGAGCTCCTGTTCATTAAAAAAAAATTCCAAGGTGGCTGAAAGGCAGGTGTCCTTCTTGGCTGGAATATCTCAATATTTTTAAAAATGATTTATAAGTTGTTCAGCATTTTAGGGCACAAGGTCTGTGAGTGGAATTGCCAGTCTGATTTTATGAAAGTGTTCCTCACCATTGGCAGCTACAGGTAAAGGTAAAGGTTCCCCTTGACAATTTTTGTCCAGTCGTGTTCGACTCTAGGGGGCAGTGCTCATCCCCGTTTCCAAGCCATAGAGCCAGCGTTTTGTCTGAAGACAATCTTCCGTGGTCATGTGGCCAGTGCAACTTAGACACGGAATGCTGTTACCTTCCCACTGAGGTGGTCCCTATTGATCTACTTGCATTTGCATGCTTTCGAACCGCTAGGTTGGCAGGAGCTGGGACAAGTGACAGGCGCTCACTCCGTCACGTGGATTCGATCTTATGACTGCTTGGTCTTCTGACCCTGCTGCACAGGCTTCTGCGGTTTAGCCCGCAGCACCACCACGTACCTACGGCACCTACAGATAATGGTACAAAAACCAACAACAACCCAATTCCAATTATTTCACCTGTCAGTTAATGCACATAATCAGAAGTGAGTTAAATGGCATAGAGATAGGATGGAAGAAAGGTCAAAAGAAGTTTTCCAAGGGAAAAAACCTCACACCTACTGTGCTGCTGACTGCAAGAGAAGAAAGGAAAACTGAGGATGAAAGCCAAGGAGAGGGAAATGACTGAGAGTACCAAACAGAAGGTTATTTGATGGGTACGCATACACGTGAGATAAACCTTCTTAGAAACTTCTTTTCAAAGGGGATGGACTGAGAAGCAGAGCAAGGCTCCATCTATCTTCCTAACTCAAGGACTCTTCAATAGGACCAGGCTAAAATGATCTAGCTGAAGCATCTCTGACATACATTAAAGGTCCTGCTATAGGAAAATAAGACAAGACAGAAATACATTAGAAAGATACAATATGTGATTACCTAGCTTAGATACTGTATTTTTCCTAATTTCCACACCATTTTCTGGAAAGCAATCATAAGGCTTGCGTATTGCGATGTGCCACGCCTCCCACAAAATAAAAAATCATCCAGATAATGGATGATCTGTGCTCGGCTGATCTTCTGATTGAGTACCAATCCAAAAATGTGCTTAATTGTTCAAAAGCAGAACAAGATATTGAGCATCCCATTGGTAATGACTGACCCATATAATAATTCCCTTCAAAAGCAAAACCCAGAAGGTCAAAGTCCTCAGGGTGCACGGAAAGCAGACGCCGATTTTATGTCAGACTTCCCCAACTCTACCCTCTCCCCTCCTTCTGAACCATGCACACTGCCACATCAAACAATGTATAATGTACAGTGCACAGGTCCTGAGGAATCCTGTCGTTAACTGATTCCCCTGCTGGATAAGACAAATGGTGAATCAATCGATATTCACCCATCATCTTTTTGGGAACAACCCTGAGAGGTGACACCTGAAGGTGTGGAATTGGCAGGAATTGGAAAGTGCCCAATACCCATTCCTCTGCTATTTCCATAGCAATTTTCGCCTGTACTATGTCCTCTTGTCCTCTTACGGACTTCAATTTTTTTGTCCAAGTGGCTCTTCGATCACCCACAGCAGGAATACGAAAACCGTTTCTAAATCCCTCACTCAGAAATCTAGCTTCTGCTCTATTAGAATAATCCCATAGCCACTGTTCCAGAATCACTATTTTAATTGGACTGGGGCCCTTTTTGAATGCCTGAGGCCCTGGGAGGTGGCTTGCAACTACTTCCTGGCTCACGCCCTCCTGCTCCCCCTTGCTTTCTTCTGGGACAAGTTGCAGATGGATGGGGACCATCACAGCTGGAACAGTAATGCTTAAATCTACACTGCTTTATGCTACAGGACTCCCAAGCGTTATAATCCCAGCAGACCAAGCGGGGCTGAACCACCTGGCCTGCTAATGAGTGGGATGCATAAGACTGTGCCCTTTGGACTAAATGCCCACTGTCAAATCTGTCACCGTTCCTTCCATATTGGGTGTGCAGGAGTCATAGTCTGCAGCCATAATGCATTGTGGGGGATGTCCCAATGCATACAGTTGTGCAGCGCCATATGCATACAGAACCCCTCATCACGAAGCAAATGTTTATGCCTTGGGAAGTCAACATACACCCTATAAATGATGTCCATATACTGGATCAACGAAAAGGCTCTTTCTGGTTGGGCGCGAACTATTCTCCCAGTGTATATGAAAAAGCCTGGCAACCAATTCGCCCTACAACGTTCTGGTTTACGCCAGTTCAGTTTTTGCCTCTCTCTTCCCTCCTCTTTGTCTTTCTTCTTGTCCTCTATCTTTCTATTCAAGAGCTCAAACACATCTATGTGTTCTATTCTCCTCTCCAAATTTTCTCTACTGTAGCAGGCAGAAGGTGATCTCGTAATGGTAGAGACTGATCACGTTCTGGTAAAGCTCGCCATGCCACTGAGTTGTAACCCATATCGGGAACAGCTGCTTGCACTACTGCTTGGGCTGTTCCTCCTGCCCTGGCCAGATTAGCTACAGCTGCACTTGGTGCAGCATTCACACTGCTCTCTAACTCGACCTGCACCCCTAACTGTGATGCCAGCAAAGGTGAGGCCTGTTATCATGCTGCCCTTTCATCCATCCTCAGAAAGATTAGGACCACACCTCCCCTCTTCCTGTCTGCTTGCCTCTACTTGTTCATTCAAACTCTCTCTTCCACTCTGAATTTTGACCTGAGCAGACATGTAAATGCCTGACATCTGGACCGTGTGGCCAACATGATGGATTCAGCTTCCCACATGGTTAAGACTGGAATTTCCTTCTTTTTCCTTTTTTTTTACTGTTCTGATTGCAACTGAAGTTCTACAATTATTATTATTTTCTTTTCTACTTAAGCTACTTGTAGAGTGATTTTTATATGCAAATAGCTAGTTTCATTGTGAAAGAAAAAGGGCTGGGTGGAAGCTGGCATTTTAAACTATTCTCAGTGTTTCCCCGTGCCACAGCATTTTGTATTTTTGTACCCTAAGCTCTTCTAACTTAAAAGGAATTAACAAAAATGTATTCAATAGTCTCCACTTACCTAGACACCTTGGAACATGCATGCAAAGTGGATTGATTGACAATTGTGATTCTCCCTGTTTGGCAGGCTGAGTGTTTTACTGAATGGAACTCTTGGCTTAAATCTTGTAACTCTAGATGACAGTACAAGACTGGGAAATGGACTGTCCTTGATAATGCAACTTTCTGCCTGCCAGCATCACACGGAAATGGACTGTCCTTGATAATGCAACTTCCTGCAGTTTCTGCCTGCCAACATCACATAGGCTATCCCATGCCGGTACATGAGCAAGCAACACAATGTAGTAGCAAAAAGGGTGAATACTATTTTAGGTGACATAAACAGAACTATTGTGTTTTAAGTCATGAACTGTAACTATTCCACCTTATTCTGCATTTGTCAGATGCTACCTGCATTGAGTTCTCAGTGCCGTATCCTTTTAAAGGACAAAATGATATCGGCTTAAACTGAGCAAGAAGATGGGGAACATGTTTTATGGGAAAAGTGAAGGAAGTGGATATGTTTAACTAGATAAGAGAAAACCAAGAGGAGATGAGACTCTTGGTTCACATAGCTGAAGGGTTATCACATACAAGAGAGCAAAGATTTGTTCTCAACTTGTGCTCAGGGGTAAGACTAGGTCTAATGGCTTTAAGCAAGAGTAAGCTTATTTCTGTGGGACTCTCTGAATTGAGTTATTTACATGTTAAATTCTACCTTTCCACCATACATTGTTCTCGCCATCCTCTTTATCTTTGCAATAATCCTATGAGATAGGACGAACTGAAAGACCTTGTCTGGCCTCAAGATCACCACTACAGCAGTAGAACCAGTTACCTAGGAATGTGTTCATCTAACCAGAGATCTCTGAACAGCCATCTTAACAGCCATTGCAGAAGGATATATGTGGACTAGATAACTAAAAGACCTCCTTCAACTTTGTCCTTCTATAAGACATGTAAAGACTGGAGATCTTGTACACCAGTATTTCCCAACTTTGGATAATCCAGGTGTTCTTGGACTGTAACTCCCAGAAACCTTCACCATCAGCTGTACTGGCTGGGGTTTCTGGGTGTTGCAGTCCAAGAACATCAAGGTTACTCAAAGTTGGGACACACTGCTATACACAAACAAAATATACTTCACGCTATGAAACTGAAATGTTGTGAGCATTCATAATGCATGATGAGCTACATCTGGAGGTCAAAATATTTGTTACACTGTAGTAACCTGGAACTAGAAAATAGGGTAGTTTTTCAAAGCTGAGCTGCTTTAAAATGTAAATACTTCTGCCTGAATTAGTGAGATTCCATAGTGAAATAACAAATTATTTCCCCATGCCTCAGGCTTGCCCTATCTGAAATTGGCTTCAAGGGGCCTCTGTTATTTTTAGAAATCCATCTGTTTACTTACTATAGATTTGGTGCACTGCTTTCTCTTTCCCTTGTTTCTAGTTAGAGCTCCCAATATTTGTTTCTAAAATGACCAAAATGTTTGAAAATGCAGATCTGTGTCTTAAAGCATCAATTCCATTTGGTGTATCTCCTTTGGTTATTCCCTTCCCTGTTGCTTTGGAAGCAACACGGAAGGGAATAACACGTCACAACCAGCACAGTAACTAATAAGAAGTAATGTATTTACCTCTAATTAGTTATTTTTCATATTGCCTTGGCCTCATCATAGGATTTTCATGGAATAAAATATTCAGAAGTGGTTTACCAATGCCTTTTACATGGTGTTGTCGTTCAACTGAAGTTGTATTTAACTAATTCTCAGACCTGCAAAAAACCAGATGATTTTTAATATGTCCTGATATGTAAAGCTATAGAATTCAAAGGGGGTGTACTTTCTTTTACACATGACTGTACATATATGGACAGAAGCATTTACATATGCCAAAACAATTCAAAATAAATCAATTTCACAAGTGATTTAAAATAAGGGGCCCTCTTGTGCCCAAGTGAAATACCTCCCTTTCTAACAAAAAACACATTTCCCAGGCAACCCCCACCACCACTTTCTGTGTGTTGTGTAGTCAGAATCTTAAGAATCTATTACAAACATGCTAAACTTAATTTGAAAACAGGGCTGCCCATCAGAGGAGGTGGGGCTTTGAAGTGCTGAACAATGTTTTGTGTGATAAACGAATCAGCACAAGTTTAGCAAACACATTGACAGGAATTACTTTTATAATGCTAAATACTTAAGAAGTAAATCTTTGTGCGGATTTTAAAATGCTTCAGAGTCATACAGCAATACGAGGACCACGCCTATGCTTTCACACTTGTGTAAGTGCTAAACATCAAAAGAAATAGATTTGCTCATCCTGCTTTAGTTTCTTTCATCTGATAACATGAGGACAAGGAAGGAGTTTTTTTTTCCATCCTTGTTTTGATATTATCATTGCTAAGCTTCTGTTCTTCTTAGCCAAATGACTTCTACCACATCTTATTTAAAAATAGTTTGTTATATTAATATTCAAAACCAAGAAGGATAAAACAGAGCATGGCCCTGGATGGCACAAAGCCAGTTAATAGTTTTACTTTTGATCATTCATAAACTGGGTTGCCAGGGTGAAACTTGGCAGACACATTCCCTCTTTTGTTTTAGTCTTTTATTGAATGAGGAGACAAAGCAGCCATGAATCCAGTCTCTTTCTTCTCCTGCGGGAGCACTTATAAGTGGTGTCAATTTCACAAAATGACACTAATTTTGGAGCAGGAAAACCTGTGGAAGAGAACATTTCCAGAAAACCTCTTCTTAGAAAATCAGAGAAGGGAGAGGAGTTCTTCTGGGAACAAGGAGAATTCTTGATTCATAACTGGGAGCAAGGAATCTCATACTGCATTGCGATTCCTTGCTGAAGTATCTTGGTACACCAAGACACTTTAAACCAGCCATTCTCAATGGGGACATATGGCCCCTTGGGGGCACCTGGCACATTTGAAGGGGCCCACAGATTGGAAACAATTCTTCACACATCATCTTACAAGGTTTGCTATGCAACTTATGCAATCCTGGTTTGGCCTTTCTTTCTTTCATATTGTGTTTATGGCTGTGGCCGAAACAAAAGGTTGAAAATGGCTGAACTGCCAAGAACAAGGAAATCAGTGAGTATTCCTTCCGTCTCTGCAAGGCCCTGTTAAGTTTTGATTGTAGCCCCAATTGTAGACTTTGCCCAAGAAGAGCAAGACCCCTGATGAAACTGTCCTCAGGGGAATGAAGTCCTCAATAGGAAAAGAATAGTTTTCACCCCTGATTTAAAATCTGTTAGATCAGGGAGGCTCCTATTCAAATTCCCTCTCAATTCATAGAGCTCATTGAGAGACTCTGAGCCTGCCACTTTCTCTTTAAGTGGGAAAAGCTTTTATGTGCAGTCCTGAGCTCCTTAGAGGAAAATATGACATGTAAGGAATAACAAGACCAATTGCGACCCCAGTCCTTCTCAAAGTGGTGTAGGTGAAAGATCAGCTCCCACCCCCTCATACTGGTTAGAGTCATAGCACCACCATGGATTATACAGTAAAGAATATTCTCAAAACATGTATCAAATAGGAATACTTGCATTCCATTCAGAAGTGGCTCATAGACTAGAATGGGGGGGATGCCTCAGCTAAAATGTTTGGGGAGATGTGCCCCCACTTGGTTACAAGGCATCTTTGATTGCCTTGATGCTGTAACTTTTCTTTGTGCATAGAAGGTGTTATTACTGCTGAAGTATACATACTATATTGTGTTTTTGCCATTTTCTAGAGAGGCAACAAATGTTCCCCCACAAATACAGACTATAAATAATTTCTAGTGAACAAAAACTGCTACAATGTTTGTGAAAAAACATCTCACAGTGTGCCACAAATTTGCATACTAAATGAGTCAAATATTTATGAATTGAGGAGTTCTCAAGCAGATTAAGAAAAAAACAGACAGGCAGTGGAGTCAAAAGTACTTACCATAAACACTTAAGGCTTTTCAACTGTGCATTTTAAAAACTGGAACAATGGTAGGTTATGTCAGTTCCACGTACAAGGAGGATGAGTAAAGCAGTTCTAGGCTGTCAAGGGATTAGCAGCTGAGTAAGGTGCAAAACTAACTATGGCTTGTTTTTCTTGCATGACCACCATGGATACAGACCATCACAAAGGCAACCTTTTATGATCCAGAGGTGAAGAGGTCACTGCTCCTCCACGGATAAGACACTTAAAGGACATTCCCCATTGTCACCAATGGATGGGTGCAACATAATCAGAAATACAAAGAATATGTGCTAGATTCTTCATTCTGGTTAATGTAGACAGTACCAACTTGATGAGACATCTTGGGGAGGGATTTCAAAGCACCACAAGATTTCACACCTTCAGGCAAGAGTGACACAAAGGGCTTCCCTCCCCCCTCCCCCCCAGGTTTCAATAACTTGCAGAATACACATCTGTGAAAAACTAGTGATCTTTGAGAAGCAACTCAAATGCACATAGTGCAAGCACAAGACTGACTTATTGTTCAGAAAGACACAATTAACCCATCTAGTTCTTCAGAGTGTTGAAACTCATAGAAACAAAGCAGCAGTCATTCTAATTTTATGTACTTTGTTAATTTCAACAGAATCCCTGGACAACACATCCAAACATTAAGAGTGTCTACAAATTACTTTGCCCTCTTTGATGGCAGATACAGGACTGTAGCAGTCCTGCCATATTTGCAAGAATGAGATAGCCAGGACTTCCATCTCTAACAGAGTCTGTTTAAATTATTTATCCTTAAACCAGCTGCAATGTGGACAATTTATATGACTCGTCTTTTGTTTGTTTTCCAAATAGAACAGCTACTCACAAATATCATGCAGAAAGGCTGGCATCATTTGCTACTTTTGGAATCCAGAGAACTATACTATTGTCTCTCTACACCATGGACCTTTGAGATGGAGGTTCACAACATTATCAAGCATTATAAACCAATCAGGTTCACATCTGGCATTCAAGAGCAGATAATGGCAACCCTCAGTGGTACTGCTAGTAACAAAAAACATGGAAAGACAGTTGTTTCATTTCTCCACCCCATCACCCCACCCCACAACTGCTGTCCAAGTAAAAGCTAGTTTGACACAACATGTATTGGGACATTATCTTTTTATGTATTCATTGAATCAGGAATTGGGAACATGGGTCCTTTCACATGTTCTTTGAAAGCAATCCCCATCAGCCATTGACAAGACAGTCAATGGTGAGGGCTGCTGGGAGATGCGCTCTCACAAAATCAGGAGGGCCATGCTCCACTCACCCTCATGCTAGATATTATTGTACTGCAATTCCCACCCTTCCTTACTAATGGCAAAATTGACTAAAGATGATGGCAGATGCACTTGAACAATATCTATAGCACCACATGTTACACACTACTGGTGTAAACCAAGCTTTTAGAATACCAATTTTGACTGCATTCCTATATACACATGAAAGTTACTTATCCTAGATTTACAGTGGTACCTCGACTTACAAACTTAATCCGTATTGGAATGGAGGTCGTATGTCGAAAAGTTCGTAAGTTGAGGCAAACTTTTCCTTAGGAATGCATTGAAAACCATTTTATCCGTATCTGCTGTTTTTTGTTTGTATGTCAAGGCATTGTTCGTAGGCAGAGGGAAAGTTTTTATGGGAACTAATGCAAAGCCCGTTAATCCGTACTCGACCGCTAGGGGGTTATTTTTTCTTCTTCTCTTTACGTAAGGTGAACTTAGGTCAAAAAAAGGGCAGGAAAGGTTTTTTTCTTCTTTTTTTGATTCGTAAGTCGAGGCTCCGTTCGCAGGTCGAAGCAACTTTTTGCGAATGGAGCCGTTTGTAACTTGAATTGTTCACAACTAGGGATTTTTGTAAGTGAAGGTACCACTGTATAATGAAGTTATTTCATAGTTAGACGTTCTCTTCTAGAATTACTTCACAGTCATAAATAACGCTACAGTCACTTCTGACTAGCTTGTGTCATTCATCTCTCTCCCCCCCCGAGCTCTCAGAATTCCCGAAGAATCCCACAGGCAGAATTCTGGAAGCCCCCAAAAGCACATACACAATTTACATTTCATTCACCTGGAACAAGGCCTATCTTTCAGGCTGCTGAGCTATCTCGGGTCTACCATTGTTGATGTACAAACAGGGAAATGCCCCAGTGCTTCCTGGGAAGCCTAGATCTTTGTGTGAGGTGCAGTTCTTAGGAGCAGCCCTTTGCTAAAACCTAATGGGCAGCGAGACTACAGCTCCCATGAAGACCTAAGCTTCCCATAGAGCACAAAACAACAACAACAAAAACAAATGGCACCTCCCTGCTTCTGATGACACACGTGTGGGGTTGTACCTTAATCTATCTATTTGTGACTATAATGAAAGAGAACTTTACAAAGAACTTTACAAATGGAGCTTTAGCAGCTCAGGCTTCACTCTTGCCTTACTGGTCCCCTACGGGCCATTATAAACAAATACATTGCAATAAAAGCAAAGAAATACAAATAACAGAGAGTACAATGTTCCAAAAACAAATCTCGGAAGTGCTCAAACTGGCCCCAGCTTTAAATATTTGCTTCAATGACATGATTCTATAAAGTCCCCAAATGCTTGAAAGGAATGAAACTAGGTCAGGCTCTTCTTTTCCTGTTTAAAAGTAGATCAAACCCTGGCCTCAAAGGATGAAAACAAAAAACCACAGAGTCCAGAGGAATTCTCCGATAAACCTTCAGAGCTTTTAGAAAGTGTCAATAGAAACGGACAGAAATTGGGCCACAATGAACTTTCACAATAGCAGCGCTAAATGTATGATGAAGCTTGCAAACTCAACACTGAGTGTTCAAAGAGGTTGCATTGGCAGAAAATGTCCTGTCTTTAAAGAGATTCCCGGTAGTGGAAGCCCTTTGAAGACTTCAGACTTAGACTTAAATAAATAAATAAATAAAAGAAAATGTCCTGTCTTTAAAGAGATTCCCAGTAGTGGAAGCCCTTTGAAGACTTCAGGCTTAGACTTAAATAAATAAATAAATAAAATCAAAGAGGTTGCTGCAGTCAAGTGAGTCCGTTACAATACAAAGCTTGAAGTCCGCAAGGTGACTTTTGTATCCTTATTTTGAACTGAAGCTTCTCTGAGACCTTCCACATTTCCTCATGCACTGAGGTAACTCAAGTTGGAACAAGAGGCCATGTAGGATGACTGCCCTCTTTTAAGGAGCATAGTTCTCCATTGAAAAGCTGTCTTCCTTTTCAGTGACATGTATGTGGCTACCTTACACCGCCTAGCGAGTTTCCCTGACCAAGGAAAGAAATTAGAAGCCTTGGTTGGTAAATGTATCTAATCAATCCTCTCTCCTTTTTAAAGTAAAATGGTTCAGAACAAGGGTCACAAGTAGAGATGGGCACAAAATAAACCAAAACCCCCCACAAACTAGTCCAGTTTGTGATTCCTTCCATGGGCAGTTTGGGGAATTGCACTTTCACAAAACAAAACACCAAACTTTATCTTTATGGGCATTTTGTTTCACTTCTTCCCCACTGAAAGCCCTCCTTCATGGGCCCCAGCTCACACCAGGCCTCCTCCTCACTGCTGCTGTTCGGGCAAGTAGGACAGTAGGCTGTCTGGGGTCTTTTCCTGTCCCAGTGCCTCCTGTATTGTGAGAAGTATAGTTTCGCTGCCTGTTGAGCTATATATATATATAGGGAACCCTCAAAGAACTACACTTCCCACAATACCCTAAGCCTCCCAGGAAACATTGAGGCAGGATGCATCCCACAATACCCTAAGCCTCTCAGGAAGCACTGAGGAAGGCTGCAGACCTCAGAGAACCTACTGTCCTAATCAGGTAGGCAGTGTGGCAGCAGCAGAGGGGAAAAGGGGGAATGAAGCAAAGAAATTAGATGCTGGGGCCATGAAGGGGGGTGAGGGTGGGAAACCCCTGAAGGGGTGCTTTCTGTGTAGCTGAGCTACATTTAGAAATCAGCCAGAACCAAATGAAGCAAAAATTGGTTCTTTCATTAAGAAAAAAATCAGCATGGTTCGTGGACCACAAATCATCACAAAGAGCCATTTTGCTAGCTTGTGCCCATCTCTAGTCACAAGGCACCTCAGGGAATTATTAGCCATTAAGCGTTACTTATTTATTAGATTTGTATCTCATCTTTATCTCAATGCTGTCCTTCAGGGTGGTTACCTAGTCACAATCTTGTGTAATATGGCAAGCAGTAGTGTATTTCCACTTAAACTGGGTTTATTTGTTGTTTGGTTCATGCCCATTACTAGTAAACCCACATGTGCTTCTTTTTAATAATAGCCTATGATAGACATCAGTTCCATGCTATACTATGAAAGTGTGAATACACAGCATTGTGTAATGTGCATTCCCCAAACCAATTTTCAGGTTTGTTGCAATTGTGTTCTTCATCTTACGGAACCTGCTCCTGACTATCTATGTTTTGATTTCCATTGCATGGCTATTGTGGTGTTTGTGTAATGTGCATTCCCCAAACCAATTTTAAGATTTGTTGCAATTGTGTTCTTCATCTTATGGAACCTGCTCCTGACCATCCATATTTTGATTTCCATTGCATGGCTACTGTGGCGTTTGCCCAGGTCATGAAAATCCATATGCTATCTGCATAGACCAGTGGGAGGTGGAGGGGCAGAGTCACGAGGTATAAGAGACTTGGTAGGAGGAGGAGGAGTTTAGATGACATAGATAAGGTTTAGACAGGGTTTTGAGATGGAGAATTAGAGTGTTAGGGAGTTGAGAAAGTTTTGGAGTTTGAGCGGGAGAATGGTGGTTGAGGGTGGAAAAAGAAGAATGTTTGTTCAAGAATTAACAACAGTGCTTGTTCTGTCAACACCTGTATCAATGAACAAACATTTCTTTTAAAATGACATATGGCCTGGACATCTATCATTTATCATTAATAATAGGTATGATTGATGAAATCAATTGGTGGCAGCTGAGGTCACGTAGTGTGAGCTCCTAGTTTGGTGAAACAATCAGGGCCATGTGGGATCGTGACAAATTGGTGGCACAGCACTGGGATACAAAACATCCAGTGAAAAGTTGA